TTCCTTGTGTTTGATTTTCATTATATTGGTGAACTTGCTCAATTTGATCTCAGATTTCTGTTACAATTCATGATCTGTCTCTGGCATAGGCACACACAAAACAGTGGAGGAGAATATGGCAAAGTGTCCTGTCTGCCGTAAAGTGTTTCTTGCCAAGGATATTGAACACGTGCTCGACTTGGTTGGGACTGGTGAACATTTGGTATATCAAATCACTGTTTATAACAGTTTATTATTTCCTTCTCTTTCAAAGCAACAGTATCGAGCTTTAATTACACTTAATAGCGTATTTTGCTGTTCATTCTATGGTATCTTTGTCAGGATTCCAGTGGGACTGAGATCGACAAAGACATTCTTCATTCTGTTTCTGAGAAATTAAGGAGACAAAAATTTGAGGCAGTACTTAGACTCCAGCAAGAAAACCATGGCTTGATTGAGCCCAAAAAGAATGAGGTCTTATTGCCAGGTGTGTTTCTTCCACAGCCAGTTGCCTCACCTCCTACAGAATCCGACACTGTATCCAGTGGGCCACGGAAAAATGGCCCAACAGCCAAAACAGATGCCAATCCAGGAAGTTCCTTCAACAGGCCCGGCCCAAGGAGACACAGCAATTATTCTAATACCAGGAAGCACAGACCCCAAAATTCTGGTAAGCAAGCAAGGAATCGGACAAGTAAAGAGGATGCTAGTAGAAATTGATTCTATGACTTCCACCCCAAGAGCTAAGTCGTTTTAGTGTGAAAATTTTATTGAGGTGAGAGCCGGTATACAGTATAAATCAGAAAAAAAGTTTTGTTTTACATGTGGTAAGATTCTTGTCTATATTTCTTATTTCATTATGGCTGGTAGTTAGTTTTGGATTTTTAACCATTTTCTCTTTCAAAAGAAGTTGTGCGATTTTGGTTCATTCTTTCACTCCCTTGAGCCCCTCTCTCTCGTAATTCTATTTTCTTATCTTTCGAAAAACAAAATGCAAATAATACTAATAATATTTTGACTATGATATTGAGTGAACAAGTGAAATTGATAATAATTTTTTTT